ACATAAGGATCATTTAGGATTTAATGCATTTTTTTTAAAAAATGTGTACCTTATTGTTATAAAGGATAAGTTTTAAATTCAAATAGATCTGGGCTTGAATCCCAAGTCAGCCAATTACTAGCTATGTGAGTTGGCCACTTTCTTTGATCTTTTTCAGTTTCATTATCCTTGTTTGTAAAATGAAAATAACAATATCCCCTTTCAGACAGTTATAAGATTATGTGGGATGATACATTTAATGTGTCCAGCACAATGTCTGGCACATAATAAGGATATATCATTTTCCTTTACTTTTCTAACAAAATTACCAGTATAGAGAAGGAAGGAACTCTACTTATTATTGATTGTCACATCTCTTTCTTCCTCTTCTACCTTGGTCTCTAAAAGTAATGCATACTTGGTACTACATAAGCATATGCTCCCTTCCTTCAAGAAATTCTAGATTTGACTATAAGCCTGACATTTTTAGATTTTGTCTCATTGCATGATTTCTCCTTCTAATTTTTATATTATCATGTTCCCATGTCTGAGTGTCTGGTTAATACAGGAATTTAATGCAGTTCCAATATTTATTTAACCATACATTTATTCAACTCCTCTGTATATAAAGACACTAGTAGACATATTAAAACAAATAGAAGCTGCTGACAGAGAGAAAAGTTAAGTAGGAAGTGGAAAACTAGACACAAAGGGTATTCCAAATTTTTTCTGAGCACCTTTTTTCCATACATTCTCTTATATTTACATAATACAAGTATGTAAAAGAACCTGGGAAGTGAATGACCAGTCTTGCTAGTGATTTTGTTTAGGCTTTGGAAATGATATTACCATTGTCTAATTCATGAAGAAAGTTAAAAAAAAAAAACATGATTTTTTTCCTGTGCTGCAGTTTCCTCTTTTTTCAAAGAAAGATGTATCAAAATGGCTATGATACCTTTAAAAAATAGCTTTGATATACATTTGAGTAATGTTCTTATCATTTCTGTGCTTAAAGAGAAAGAAAAATGAACAAAAAATGACCATTTGAGATGCAGAATAATTATCAGGAAATATATAACACTAAAACTGGGTGGTACGTTTCAGATAGCATAAAATAATTTGATGCAAATTTTCTGAAAATATTTAAAAATGCTAATTTTGTATTTTCTCAAGGGAAGTAATTAATGTTGAATAATCAGTATCAATAGAAAAACATCTAAAAACTACTGCTTGAGTTGTAAAGAGTTTAATTGACAATGTAATTTAAGTAAATATGTAATTATAACAGATTAAAGTGCAATAATCAAACAAACTCAGAATTTTTTTCTTCCTTATGGGTTGGATTAACTAGTGGATGGATTTACTTCTGACTCCAGTTATGTTAAACATTAGACATGGAGAAGTCAAATGACTAAGTCAACAAAAGAGGCAAAGCAGAGTAAGGACTGACAAGTGTATCCTGATTGGCAAGTAGTAGGTGACTAGAGCTCCTGGAGAGACTGGAGATACTAAAGAGTGAGATAAGGACAAGACTGCTAAAGGCTGGGGAAAATGTAAGGTGGCAAAGCCAATATAAGAATGTCAACTCTTATCATCAAGAACATGGTTCTAGGAAGAGGAGGACAATTGATATTCTAGATTTAAATATAGGTTTAGAATGCTTTCATGCTAAAAGAGTGATGGATGGTGCTAGTGTATCTACAGGTTGAGAAAAAGGGAACAATATTTGAGAACTGAGATTGTCAGAGGAAACTACAGCAGATAGGCAAAGTTCTAAGTATTAAATAACAGGAAGGATTCCTTACACTGAAATAAGAAGAATGGTTAATTGATCCTTCTAGTAACTCACTTATTCAATTAATACTGAAAATTATTATGATAGCTGCTTGACTATACCCTTAATTGTAGAAATAAATCCAAATCATTTTCCTGAAGGGAGTCAATATATAGATCATTATGCAACTTTGAATAGTATTTTGAAATAAAGTGCATGCTATTAAGATACTAGTCATTTTATAGATAGCTTTCTCAGATAAATTTATTACTAAATATTATGCCGAAACAACTAATGCCTTTCTTACATGTTTAATATTAGCATTTGAAATTTGAATGACAAAGAAACTCACAAAATACTGACTTGTAATTAATTATTTAATTATCATTTAGTAAGTCAAATGTAATATTTATATTACCTTATGCAATATATTACATGACAAAATTGTGTTGGATACAAAATAATTCAGGCTTATTTGTCTTTCCAAGAAATTCTGAATGTAATCAAGTAAATGATATATACATGTACACAGAAAGGATTCATTTATTAGCTACCATGTTTTGACTATCTGCTGTTGGCAGGGAACTGTGATAGATACCTCATGAATGTATTTTTACCTACTGTTAGATATTTGTATTTTCATTAAACCTATGAGGATATTGAAGCTCAGAATATTCAACATTCAAAGTTAACTCTTGATATTAGACAATTAGTTCCTCCATAGATAAACCTATTAATAGTAAACTGCATTTTAAACAAGATGCAGTATAATTATATGCAGAGTATTTCAGAAGCTTCTCTTCAAATTTAACCCTCATGGCAACACCAAAAATTAACCATAGTTAAGATATTACAGTCTAATTTACCTATGTACTTACAAGATTATTAGCAAATCAGATTTAGTAAGAGCACAACCAATTTATATTTACTCTAAAAATGAAAAATTGTTTAAGTATAATTTATTGCATTTCCAAATTAAGGTAAAATTATGGAAAATTCAACAAAAGCAAATAATAACCATGAATTAAAGCAAAAAAAAAATTACAATATAGGAATAGACAAGGATTTCTTTAAAGTGCTAAAATACTGGGGGAAATAATAGCATTTAATAGTAAAATATTAAAATGATTTTCTTTTAAATAAAGAATAAGACAAGAATACCCATTCTCCTGATCTTTATTCAACATTCTTCTAAAAGGATAAGTCAGACCAAGAGAAAATGAAAGACAAATAGTCTTGAAAGAACAACATAGCTATCAGCATAATACAGATGGATTATTTCCAACACAAAATCCCTCAAAGAATCTTCAGACAAAATTATTAAGAGAGATCAAAATAGTTGCCAGACATAAGGTATACTCTATGGCATGTCTGAACACAAGAAAATAAGAGAAAATTTTATTTTAAAATAGATACTATGTATAAATACAACCAAAAATTTAAGATATCAAAAATAAGTCTCACAAGATATATAAAAGTTCTTTTTCAGAAAGTTTATAAACTTCATTGAAAAACACTGAATACGTAAATAACTTGTATTATACACAAGGATAGGAAGCTCTAGGCATGGAAAAGTATAAATTTTTCAAGAAAATGGCATAAAAATCCAATTCAATTCCAATAAAAATTTCTACTAATTATATTCAACAAGTTGACAAAGCTGTTTATTAGACAGCCATGCAAAATTAAAAGGTAATATTAGACAAAATGTTTTGAAGAGCAAGTTGTGGTACTTTACCTACTGGATACCACGATTTTCTGGAAGTCTCTAGAAATTAAGGCAGTGTGGTATTTTCACTGGCAATAAAATAATAAAGACAAAACCCCAACATATTTGATAACTTAATATAGGAGAAAAATTAGAGGTGAAAAAAGAATTCTCAATAATTGAAGGTAGAAAAATCAAATAGTCAAATAAATAAATGAGAGAGGAAATGAGAGAGTTAGAACAAGAGTTAGAGACAAAGAGAAAGGAAGAAATAAACAGAAAGCAAAGGAATTGAAGGGAAGGGGAGGAAAACACAGGGAGGAACTAGAATTTTATTTTTTGATATTTGTGAAAGTTAAAATTAAATACACAAAAAACTTAAGTATGAAAGGGAAACTCAATTTTTTTAGAATATTTAGAAAACTTAATATGGAAATAAAAGGTCTTAAGAAATTTTAAAAAATATATTTAAAACTTACATTCATAAAAACTAGCATTAAGGGTTGGGGCTGTAGTTCAGTGGTAGAGCACTTGCCTCACATATGTGAGACACTGGGTTTGATCCTCAGCACCACATAAAAATAAATAAATGGACACAATATCTTTTTTAAAAAAATGTATTTAAATGTATTTTCCCTAACCTAACTATGCTCGCCACATTTGGGCCTTCTAGGTGCAACTGTTCACTGTCAGGAACAGTTTGTATTTTCAAGTATCACTGCATTTTGACCTATATGGGTGAATGGAAATCCAGATGGAAATCAAACAGGGTTTGTGCTAGCTGCTTGGAATTTCACACACTCAATCAGTTCTCCATGAGAATTGTCTGGTTTCTTTCTTGTAGAAGAGGCCCAAAGCTGAAGCACACAATAACAAGTTTATCCAAGAACACTCTATAAGAAAACAGGAAAATACCCAGTTACTGAAATTTAGTTGTGTCCATTTACAACTAAAAAAAAAAACATTTAAAAATAGCATTAAGAAAATGGAGTAAAAATCCACAGTTTGGAAAATATATGAAATAAATATATATTACTTGAAATTTCTTGTGATGATGACTATCAAAATTATCCTAATAATATTACCCAACTGAAGTCTTCAGGGAAACTGAAACAGTACCAAGACCACCCCCTCCTGCACTGGTGTCCTAATGATTTGGGGTCACCTTAGTATGTCTCTTGATTCCTTAGTATCCTGTCCCTGCCGAGAGCTAACAACTTAAGGGAAAAAAAAAGAAAAAAAAACAAACCCGTGAAAGTTCCATCAGAATACACATAGTGTGGTTTATTTTATAGACATATAAAAGCCCCTACACATATAAAATTACGTATATTAATGTTATGCACTTGTGATAAAATTTTATGTGAAGATATCTGTTACATACAGGAAGCTAGGGAAAATGTGACCTGGGAGAGGCTATGGGGATTCAAGAGTATATAGTTAATGCTCTATTTATCAAGTTGGGTTTGGAAATGTGTATAAATATTGTCACTTTTTAAACTACACGTATGTTATATATATATATATATATATATATATATATATATATATATATATACTATGTAATTAAGTTTTTTTGAGACAAAACAAGTTCAGTTATGCTGAGTGCTCTGTTTTCATGGGATTCTACTAAATTAACACCATTTCTTTTGTCATAGCTGATCAGTCAATTGATAAAAAGGCCATAGTATTTTTTAATTAATTGGAAAAGAAAGAAGAAGGAAGACATCAGTTTGATACTCATACCGATATTATGAAGTGAAGGAAAAGCAACCCTTGAACTAGAGGCCCTAAAGTGACCTCCAATGACATAAGGAAATAGACATTATTGTTTTGATAATTTTTATTACCACACATAATCTACTTTGGTCTTTGTGACAAAGAAACTTGGTCTATCCCTACTTGAACCTCATATGTCTCTTCCTGGTCGACTCAAAATAAACAAGTCTCCCCAAATAAGAATGTCAGAGTGTTAATTTAAAATGCAATTATAGCAGGAATTGGAACATTTTGCTTACACAATTCATTCATCCACCTATTCATTTATTTATTGAATATTTATTAAGTTCCAGCTACGTGACAGACACTACTTTGCCTCTGGGAATATAGCAGTATTGTGAAAAATAAATAAATTCCCTGCTCCTTTGATGTTGATGTTCTTGCAAAAAGAAGGAAACAGTATAGAAAGTAAAGGTTATACATTAAGTGGTGCTAAGGGTTATAAAGAAAAACAAATCAGATGAGGCATTAGGACATGATGAGAAGAAGAAGATGCCTCTTAGAAAAAGAGTCAGGAATTCTTGATTCTTTAAGCAGAGACTGAAGTGAGGGAATTTAGTCATGTGTTGTCTCTGAAAACAAGTATGAAGAACCCAAGGGAGAACCATTTTTTACCATTTCAAGACACACCAGGAAAAAAAAATGACAGAATGACACAGAGACTCAGTAGTAGAAGATGAAGTCAGGGCTGAGTGGTGAGAGGGGGAGGTATCCAGAAAACATGAGGTCTTGAAGGTTCTGGAAGAATTTTAGAGTTTTTTTTTTTTTTTAGAAAGAAATTTATGTCTGGTTAGAAGAGGTCTTACAAACTGACATACTTTTAAATTTATTTTTTAAAACCATGGTAAAACACATAAAATTTACCATCCTACCCATTTTTATGTGTATAGTTTGGTAATGTTAAGCACATTCCCATTTTGTGCAACCAATTTCCAGAACTTTCTATAGTGCAGTTATGAAATTCTAGACCCATTAAACAATAGCTCTCCATTTCTCCCTCTCCCCCCTCCCCCGCCGGGCCCCTGGAAACCACTTTATCCTACTTTCATTCTCTCTTCTTTTCTTATTTTAATAGAACTGGCCAATGACCAGGCTAACTTTTTCAAAATATAAAGTCTTTAAAGGAATATAAATATAGTAAGAATATATATATGGAACTTTTCAATAAGATGCATGAAAACTCTATTGTTTCAGGATTTGGAATAGAGGCTTCACTGTTACCTGTCTACTTTCTATGTGTATGAATTTGACTACTCTAGATATTTCATGTAAGTGGAATCACATGGCATTTGTCTTTTTGTGATTGGCTTATTTCACTAGCTTAATATCCTCAAGGTTCCTCCATATTATAATACATCAGAATTTCCTTCCTTTTTAAGGTTGAATAATGTTCCTTTGTAAGTATATGCATTTGGACAAGAAGCTTCCCCATCCTGTTTATGTCTACTATGAATTTATTGCTAATATGAATGTGGGTGTACACATATCTCTTCACAACTCTGTTTTATTTTTTTTATGTATACCTAGAAGTGGAATTGCTGGATCTGATCTGACATATTTTGAAAGAATCACTCTAGTGCTATTTGTGAGGAAGACAAGATAAGAGCAGAGAGAAGGTGAAAGCAGGGAGACCATGGGTAGGGCTTCTGAGAACATCTAAGAGAGGGCTGGTGGAGTCATGGGATAACATCTTATTGGTGCAGGTGGTGATAAAATGGTCATATTTTGGTAGAGCTAACTGTACATGTTTCTGAATTAGAAGTGGAGTCTGAAAGAAAGAGGAACTCTTGATGACTTTAGGAGTCAGTTCTTTCTTGGTGACTTCTAGGAGAAGGCAGGAAAAAGGAGGATACTGAGAGAGATTCATTTTTGTGGTTGAGGGTAATCAAGAATTTGACACTGATGTGGACATATCAAGTGGTCATTTGTAATTTTTTTTTATAATTTAGAGCCTAAAGGTATAAATTCGAAATTGCCTTGGGTATATAGATAGTATTTTAAGCCACAAGACTGGATGAAATTCCCTAGTGAGTGAATACAGATGGAGAAAAGAGTTTCAGAGACTCAGCCCAGGGCTATCTGACATTTAGGGTTGAGAAGAGAATAATAGTCTGGCACAGGGATGAGAGAAGAAAGGTTTGGGGAGAAGGAGAGACAAGGTAAGTGGGGTGTCTAGAAAGCCATTGAAGAAAGTACATTATAATAAGTAGTGCCCAAATGTTTCAAAAGCTGCTGACATCAAAGGTAGTAAATAGAAGGAAAATAGAAATTGTGTTAGGTATCAGAAAGCAAGTTAACTAAACTTAATTAAACACTAAAAATTTAGTTACCAACTATTACCTATAAGGCTGGAAATGATAAAAGAATTTGACATTCCATGATTAGAGAAGTTGTGGGGAAATAAATGCTGATATATTTCTGGCAGGAATAAAAACTGTTATAAATTCTGTGGAGAAAAACTGCACAATAGCTACAAAAATAATTTTTCTTATTATATTATCATAGCGTCATTATTATTGTATGTTAATAATAATTGGTAGTGATTATTATTTAATGCTTTAGGAAAAATAGAGAAAATATATAAAGTGGCTAATTTTGAATGCAATAAAACAAAGCAGAACGAATGTACCACCACCTCCATCATCAACAACAACAATAAAATCAGAGAAAGCTACTATATTTAAAGACCTAGAAAGTTAAGAACAAAATATAATATGTGAACCTTGTCTGGATACTCTATAATAAATCAATCATGCAAACATTTTGTAGACAATAGGGTTACATAGATAATTACTTTATTCTATTGTCAATTTTGTTAGTGTTTGTTCCATTAGATGCGAAAACCTGATGTCTCTCAGGGTAATGGCAGGAAAATGATCATGCATTTTAGAAACATATATGAATGTAGGTAGTGATGAAATGTTATGATGTTGAGGATTTGCTTTAAAATATCTCAGGCTATGAATATTTCAATAAAGAAAATATGGAAAATGTGACAAAATTTTAATGGTTGTATCTGAAGAATAGGTGAGGAGTCTGATAGGAACATAAGGATTTAGCACAATGCCTTCCAGATTCATCCATGTTGTCCCATAAGGCAGGATTCCATCTTTTTTTTTTTTTTACTATTTCATTATATGTATGTGCTCCATAATTTCTTTATTTGTTCATTCTAAGTGATTATATGGGCTGTTTCTATGTCTTGTCAATATGGTGAATAATGCTATAACAAGCATGGAAGGGCAGAAGTCTCTTCAAATCCCTGGTTTCAATCATTTTGAATATATACTGGATCCCTGGATAGTTCTATCTTTTAAATTTTGTGGGGATCTCTTGTTTTCCAAAATGGCAGGCTATTTTAATCCCTATCAGCAATCTAGAAATCACAGAAGGACAAATACTGCATGATTCCACTGAAATATTCAAATTCATAGAAACAGAAAGTGAATGGTGAGTGCCTGGGGCAGGAGGCAAAAGGAAGTGGGGATTTCAATGGCTATAAAATTTCAGTTACAAAAGATGGATTAAAAAAAAAGACAGCATTGTGACTGTAGTTGACAATATATCACACTTAAAAAGTTAAGTGGTAGATTCCTTGTTAAGTGTTTTTACTACCATAATAAAGAATAAGAATAAGTAAGGAATATACATGGGGGTTCATTCTATCATTCTTTCTAGTTTTGCATATGTTTGAAAAATTAGTAATATTTTTAAAGCTATTGATATCAAGTAATAAGTTTATTGACATTTTAGTGGTCATCTTTTCAAGAAATGTTTTCAGTGAATAGACTGGGATAAAACCCTGGTTGGAATAATTTCAAAAGAAAGTATGTAAAGAGGAATTATCAGGAGAGACACCAGAGGAGTCTTTGGGAAAATTGATGTAGACAGAAGCAAAGAAGGGACAAATGTAATGAAGGGATATAAAAAAGTCTGTTTTCATAAATCGGTGATTTGAGATATTTCAGTATATTTTAATAGATACTGACAATTCTCACCCCAAAAGAAAGTACAATTAGAACAATTAGAATTTTGTTTTGTTTTGTTTTTGCTAAGCTGGGGATCAGGATAACTGGAGTTTGTCAAACTAAACAACAACAACAACAACAAAACCAACAACAAACTCTTCGCATTTGATTTATTATAAATAATGTTCAATCAGTGGGACACGCCTGGAGTCTTTGGTAGAATGCTTTCACTCCTACTAAATAAATGGCTATACCAATGTCTGTAACTCCATTTTTACCTCTAGTTTTCCATAGGTTGTCAAAACTCTTTCTGGTTAACACATCTCCTCTTAAAATTTGAAAATACATTCAATATCATCCCATCTTGACCCTGGGAGTAATTGTTTCATAGGGAATCTTTGTATAACTGCTTTCTAAGCCATTGTGAACTAACCTCAAATTTTACCTTAAAACAATCAAATTAAGTTCTTTAAAAATAATGCCAGTTATTTTATCCTTTATGTACAAATTATGCAGTGTGTGGAATTTGGGAAGAAACTTGATGAAGCAACTACTTTAAATGAGCAGAAAATAGCCAGGCATGGTGGTGCCTAAGTGTGATCCAGAGATTTGGGAGGCAGGAGGATTGCAAATTTGAAACCAGCCTCAGCAATTTAGCAAGGCCCTACATTACTTAATGAAAACTTGTCTCAAAATAAAAATTAAAAAGAGCTGGGAATTACAGCTGGGAATTTAGCTCAGTGCTAAAGTACTCCTGGGTTCAAACCTCAGCCTCCCCTCCCCACAAAGAGCAGAAATTAAAACTACCTGAACATTAATTTTATTAACTTGTTGAACATAGCTAATATTTAAACTTGCATTAAATAATATTTTAATTATAATATTGATGTTTTTGATGATATTATCTTGTCAAGAAAATATCAGCTAGAATAAGTTTAGTGATTTCAAGTGTTTTTGTTAGGTGGTTATAAAAATATTATGTAAATGTAATCTTCCTGAAACTCCAAAATTTAATAAAATGTTTCATATTGTATTGATAAAATAAGTAAAGAAGTAATGCATCTATCCAGATTGAACAATGTAGAAAAAGATTTTTAAGAATCTGGGTCACAAATAACTGTTTATTTCTGAATATATTAATTGTTTTTCCCCTCCCCCCAAAAAATTATAACTGTGAAAATACAGTGGCTTCCTATACTTGTTCTTGTAACACTTCTCTTATTAATAGGTACTTTCATACTTTATTTTAAAGCAGATTTTTTTTTTTAAAATAAGGAACTCTCTTCTAAAATGACCTCAGTTAAAACTAATGTTCGTTTTGAATGAGATCCTCAGTTTCAATTAGGGAAAAAAAGTCAAATTGAAACAATATTTCCTAAAGTGTCAATATCTCCATTGAAAATAGTGTATGGTATTTTAATTTAGTCCTTTAAAGAACAGTTGATAGAACTGTATTAGGATTTATTATAGCATAAGTGATTTATGTTCTGAGATCACATATTCACAGTTGTATGACAAAATTTTCCAAAGTTTGTCTTAATATTGTGTGTGTGTGTGTGTGTGTGTGTGTGTGGGTGTATGATCAAACCTCCAGGGATAATATCACACCTAAATTGAAAAGGTGCTATTTTTCACAACTTGGGTGGAGGTGAAGATGTTGCACTCTTAAAAAGGTGTTAGAAAGCTTGAAAAATTGCCCTTATTTTGACAAAGCTTCTGACATTAATGATTCACTGGGGAAGACTGACTATAATTTTTAATTAAATGTAGCAATGGGAAAAAGCAACATAATGAATATGTTCTATAAAATTTGAATAATGGTAACAATAGTAAACAATTAGTGTAAAAGCTAATATTTAATTTTTCTCCTCAAAATTTTCACCTCTCAGTATCCTCATTGTCTCAGGAATTATTAGCTCCATTTTTTTTTATATTACTCATGTCCTGGATCTGGAGATGGTCTTTAATTTTCACTTTCCTTCTCACCTTAGATTCAACCATAACAATATCCTTGATTGCATTTTCAAAATATATTGGAATTCTATCACTTCTCACCACAATTCTCTCAAGCAAGTCTAAGCCTTCCATCAAATCTTTCCTAGATTATTGCAGTGGGTTCCCAACTAGTCTCCTTTCCAAATAATTTAATGCAACACAGTGGGCAAGATGATCCTTCGAAACCAAAGTCAGATCATGATAATTATCTGCTGGAAATAATCTATAATCTCTCTCAGAGAAAACCCAAAGCACTTTAAAAGGCCCACAAAGCCCCTTATGACCCAGTGTATCTCTGATCCATGTGCTCCACTGGCTGCCACTCTTGGCTTCATGGCATGAGATACTGAAAGAAAATGTCCTTTCTCTATGTACTGACAAGTACGATTCCACATGTAGTTTTTGTGCTTGCTTTTATCTCTGTTTTATTACTAGAAAAATATTCTCTGGTAATCTTATATTAAAGAAGTATCTTGCACATTTCATGCTTCAGACTTTGGGACTAGCCAGTTGTTCAAGCATCCCTGGTTCATTTTCCCAAGAGATAATATTTGGAGAATAATGTCACAGTTTGGGCAAATTAATGTCATTCCTAATAGTGAGCAATGCTAGAAATGATATGTGTGTATGTGGGAAATGTGTGTGTACTATCATCTATATCTATCCATCTACTTTTCTATCTCTATAATCTATCTCCATAAACCTAGACATGGATATAAAAAGAATAAATACAAATACAGATATATAAAAATGAAAAGTCTTGATTTTATAAGGCATTCCTACTCATATCCACTAAATAGGTTTTTAATTAATGTATATATTTTAATTAGGTATATATGACAGCAGAATGCATTTTGATTCATTGTACACAATTGCAGCACAGCTTTTCATTTCTCTGGCTGTACACGATGTCTGTACTGGCGTCACACCGTATGTGCAGTCATACATGTACTTAGGGTAATGATGTCTATCTCATTCCACCATCTTTCCTGTCCCCATGCACCCTCCCCTCCCCTCCCCTTTTGACAATCAAAGTTCTTCCATTTTTCCCATGCCTCTCCCCTCCCCATTATGGATCAGCATCCATTTATTATAGAAAACGTTCAGCCTTTTGTTTTGGGGATTGTCTTAGCATGATCACACCCACTAAATCTTATTCTCTTCTTCTGTACATGTGTACCCCCTTTCTCCCACAATTAACATTCTGAATTGTAAGGATACCAAGGATTATAAAATTAGAAGTATCTTTTTTTCTTACATTTCTTTACAATAATATCATTTTGTAAACACTCTACCCATTCTCTCCTACTGCAAGACTGTCAGAACATGCAGTCCATTCAAATTGTGCTTTCTCCTTTATATCCTCCATTAATTTTGATTCTGTAGATAAATCACTAAATCTGTATTGCCCACCACTAGTCTTCATATCAGTCTTGCCAGTTGTTTTGGTTATCTGAAGTACATTTTTAGTAGAGTTTAGGGAAATACTCATTGGAACATCGTTCCTTGGGATCTTGCATACTGATGACAAATTTTCTGCAATTTTTTTTTTTTTATATTGGGGATTGAATCCAGGGGCACTTAACCACTGAGCTACATCACCAGGCCTTTTTATTTTTTATTTTAACTAAGTTGTTTAGGGCCTCACTAAGTTGCTGAGGCTGGCTTTGAACTCATGGTCCTCCTGCTTCAGCCTCCTGAGTTGCTGGGATTAAGGATTTGGACTTCCATGCCTGGCTTTTCTGGAAAACTTGATGCTTGTTTGCAAGTAATTCTGAAGAGGTATAAATCCTAATTGTTACATTCTTCATTTCCTTTCTCTTTTGTATTTTTCTTTTCTACTTTCTGTAGAACACTGCCAATTTGCTGTTTTTAGTCTTTATTTCAGAAACAATTACTTTTAAAAATTTGTAATTTTGTTCTGATTTCTGTGACCTTATTTTTGCATTATCCTGTCCTTTCTTGTTTTGAATGACTCTTCCTTTGCCTTTGGTACTGTTTTGATGTATTAGTATTTTGTGAACATTTCTTCTGATCTATTTTCACTCCCTGTATTAATGTTGGCAATTTTGTTTCTTAGTCTCTCGTTCTAATAATTTTTATGATAACCATTTATATTTGATTTTACTTTTGTGACTTAATTTCATTGAACTTTAAAATAGAATTTCCAGCATCATGGATCTAAATTTTTCTCTGGTTTAGTTTTTGTGACAAGTTAAAGAATGTAATGATTTAATTTCTGAAAACTCTTGGTTATTTGTCTTCCTCAATTTTATCCAACCTCCTTTTTTCATTTTTTTTTTTGCCTTTATTGTTGCTATTTTATTTGAGTTCTACTCATAAAAATGTCTCTTCAGTCATGGAGAAGACATGAGAATAGCCTAGGATGCATGGTACTCCACCCCTTGGGACCTTATCCCAGACCCTATATGCACATCCACTAGTAGTACATGTATCTTTTCATTTGTAACTTATATGTTTTCAAAATACTTTGTAGATACTTTAAGGAACTGTTGGTTATTTTGGAGATCAAAAATTTAATAGACTCCCCTTTCCTTACTTCTCTACTCATGCCAAGATGCCATCAGAGGTGTGGCCCAACCTGCTTGCCTTTTGGTATTTATGAGGATTTCTTGTCAATTTTTTTTTCTGTAAGTATTGTCTATGTCTTTCTATTTTACTATCCTACCTGCTTTGTATGTCTTGTTACCCCTCTTTCCAGAATCCCCCTCTCATTTTAATATCCTGAATTGACTTCACATGATACACAAAATCTGAGAATAAAAAATCTGTAAAAAAATAAGATGCTTTGTTTGAAAGTTGTCAGATTATAATTGTGAGCGTCTTGTTTATTCATTGATTTTAAAAATCATATTACATCATTAGGCTAAATATTAAATAAAGTTTCCCTCTTATATGAAAGACAAACCTAAAATAATGTAGAGCTTCTACTAATGTACAGCTAATGGCCCTTTTCTGCCCCTTTTCTTGCACCTTCCCTAGTTAGAAGAGAGATGGATTTGTTGCTGAGTTTGTAAGAAAAATAGTTCTTGTGGATTGCTTTTATGTGCTCCCTCCTACTTATGAAAAAACTCTGATCTGAGATTCATCCTTTGAGTTTTATAGGGACATGCCCTCAAATGAGGGGGATGATAGTCCAGTTTTTTGTTTTTTTTTTAAATTGATATTTTTTGAAAAAATAAATGACAGCGGAATGCATTACAATTCTTATTACACTTATACAGCACATTTTTTCATATCTCTGGTAGTATATAAAGTATGTTGACACCAATTCGCGTCTTCATACATGTACTTTGGATAATGATGTCTATCACATTCCAACATCCTTGCTAATCCCCTGCCTTCTCCCTTTCCCTCCCACCCCTCTGCCCTACCTAGGATTCATCTATTCCTCCTATACTCCCCCTCCCTTCCCCACTATGAGTCAGCCTCCTTATATCAGAAAAAACATTCGGCATTTGTTTTTTGGGGATTGGCTAACTTCACTTAGCATTATCTTCTTTAACGCCATCCATTTACCTGCAAACGCCATGATTTTATTCTCTTTTATTGCTGAGTAAAATTCCATTGTGTACAAAAGACTTAAAAACAGCATACTACAGGGACACAGCCACATCAATGTTTATAGCAGCACAATTCACAATAGCTAAACTGTGAAGCCAGCCTAGATGCCCTTCAGTGGATGAATGGATAAAAATAATGTGGCATATATACACAATGGAATTTTACCCAGTTGTTATTAATGGCCAGAAGACCAGCTACTGGCCCAATTTCAATGTGTGACCTCACCACAGGCAATTCTGAAGACTCTACCTGGTAGAACTCAGGTGATTCCCACAATCTGGTGCACAAATCAGTGCATTAAAAGGAGTTTCAGTCAAGGAACCAGCACCTTCCTGCTATATCTCCTTCTTCTCCACTGGCTATGATCTTAGACATATCTGCCCTCCTAGAATGGGCACCTTCATAGTAAGGCTTCCTCAAACATCAGCTAAGTGAAATAAGCCACACCCTCTAATGCTTTCTCTCATATTCAAAAGCTAGACCAAAATGAGGAGAGAGAGAGAGAGAGAGAGAAGAGGAAAGGAAAAAAAGAAAGGTGGGGGCAGGAATTCAATGAAAATAGAAGAGATCAGTGCAGTAGAGAAAGCAGACTGAAAGGGAAGGAGAAGGGATGGGAAAAGAGAGAAATGGTATAATGAACCTAGCCAACCTTTCTTATGTACCTATATGGATACTATGAATTTTACCTTCATGTATATCTATAATGCACTGATTTAAGACATATATGAACAAGTAGAAGAAAGATAAGTAAAGTATGGAGAAGGATAGGGGAAGGGTAGTACTGGGGACTGAATTAGAGCACATTTTTTGCCATGCTTGTATAATTGTATTGATGAACCCCAATGTTATGCATATCTAAAATGAATTAAGTAAAATAAATAAATAAATAAATACATACATACAAGCAAGCTTCATCATTAGGCCCAGGCCTCTTTAGGTCCTCTGTTGAGACCGCTTTAGAGGGGCTGTGAGGTGTGGGGACTTGAAGACATTTTTCTCCACTCTGATTCAGTACTCAGTACTTTCCCATTTGTATCCCTTTCTCTTATCCCTGTCCTCATCCCTGGGTACGTACAATGAGCTGAGCTCCTTGGGCAGAGAGATGATCTGTGTTTATCCACTTGATCCTCCCTTGGTATGTTCCTGGTGGAAGAATGTGACATTCTGGGGACTGGTGTGGCTTCCTGTTCTGCCTCTTGCTTATGCTATCAGAGCCAGAGACTAAAGGCCTGAATACTAACATCATTTTGATTCATCTTGATTGACTATTATACCTGACAATTCAGTCCTCTTTAGATCATCCCAGCTCTTGACAACTGGCTGGGTATACATTTTTCAAATCCTGGGCATTGGTGTTAGGAAGCTCACTTGCCTGCACATAATTCACTCCCAGTAATATTCTCAATAATTTTTCTTTTTCTGTAGTTTAGAAAGAAAGTGATGAAAAAAAGGAGTATTGCATACGAACCTCCTCAAACCCCTAACATCTCTTTGTTGGGCTGTAATCTTGAGGAGTAAACAAAGGTGATATTTGGGGGACAAAATAATAATTGAATAATAAGGTTTATATGGACTAGGCATTTGTGGTTAGAATTTTGACAGCTCATTGCACTCTCTATTATGCACTGAGGCTGATTTTTACAGTAGCATTAATTAACTTTTAACTGATATGAACTGGAAAAATCATTTTTGGGCTTTGATCACTGTGATTTTGATTTTATGTGTGTCAGTTTGGCTTATGGCAGCTATAACCACAGGTTAGGGGTTGTTCTAATCTTAGTTAAATTGACATCGAGCAATAGTCTCAGCAAAACTGAGACTCAGCAAAACTGTAGTGTGTTGAGACTTCAAGAAAGGAGTGAACAAGTAGTATATAATGATTTCATTCCCAACATATTAGTAGCAGGAAGCAATGGTACTAATGCACAAAAGCCCAGGAAAAGGAAGGTTTTAAGAAGTGCTAGGTTAAGTATCCCCAGGATCCTAGGGTCACTGGATTCTCATGCAACAAAGCAATATTATACCAGGTGAGGGTGATTTTCAGTGAAAAGATTGGGAAGAGAGAGACAAAATTACCTTTAGAACTATGTAGGGCTAAGAAATTCCATAGGCAGAGAAAGTGATTTAAAGGCTGGCATAAAAATAAAAATGCTCCCTGAAGATAGTTTAACCTCTCTCACTTTTCAACACCTGTTTATGGTGTGGAAATGCCATAAACACAGGGCTTAGAGGGCAAATGTAAATTAGGAAGTTTATAAGGAGACGTGTTCCTCAAATAGGACCTGACCATTAAGTTGCATTTGTGGCAAATACCAGAAGTATCAGGCAGAAGGACTACCTCAAATGCCTCTTATCCAGAAACAGCAGGTTGGTCTAGGTTGATTATTTAAAATTCCTGGCCTCTATTTGCTTCTTCAGTGTCTCCTATCCTGGCAAAGACTAGAGCCCTGTTTAGATGATGTGTTCAGGAAAAAAAAAAAAAAAAAAAACCCTAAATGACTGTCTACCTCATTTCCCTTCTGAGAGGTGTTTTTAGAAGATATACATTCTTTTCTACTTTCCCAAGTTTTATGATTAATACAGTCTCAGTCTTCTACATAGGGAGAACTTCCTTGATCTAGTGCTGCTTATGACTTGGTCAGTAGGCCAGTACTAGAGAAAACTTGTTTACCTAAAGTCTGGTTAGTGTATCTTGCTATCAACTTTGTCAGGAACAACTGTGGTATGCTTTACTTTATCTGCCTTATTTTATATTATTTTTAAATTGATTCTAAATTGAAAGGTAAAAGAGGACTGCTAAATATTTATCCCATCAAAATCCCAACCCCTACCCTTCCACACTAATTTTATGTTAGGCACCCTCTATTCATTCTGCTCCTGCTTTCTCGTCTACATACCTTAAACTCTAGTCACCACAAGCCCCCGTAATTCCCAAACACTCCTCATTTTGTGTGCCTTTTTTTAAGTTAATCATTAGAATATTTTTGTCATAGAATAATGACTCATCTGTTAATATTCACTCAGAGACATCTTTTTTCTCCCTCTATTCCCAAGTCAGAATAATGGATTCATATATATTCAGTACTTTGAGAGTATATATTGCACTCTGCCTGAATGGTAGTTAGTGATAACATACTGTCTTACCTTGGGATGCTATAACAAAATGCCATAGACTGAGTATCTTATACAACAGAAATTTATTTTCTTATAGTTCTGGCAGCCACAAGTCCAAAATCAGAGCATGGATAGGTACTGGTGAAGACTCTCTTTCTGGTTGGCAGATGGTTGCCCTCTTGTTGTGTCTTTATGTGATAGAGGTGAGAGAGAATTAGGTTGTCTTGTGTTTCTTCATCTAAGGACACTAATTTTATCAGGGCAGGGCTCCACCCCCTTGACCTCATTTAACCTTTGTTACTCCTATAAAGGCCTATCTCCAAATGTAATCACACTGAGCACTGGGGATTCAACATGCTCATTTGGAGGGGACACAATTCTGCCCAGAGCCCTGCCTTCCATGAAATCACATTATAAACTTCTCTAATGCAGGTATTTCCTCATTTAACTTTGTATGCTGTAGACATACAAAAAATTGAATGACAAAATTGAAAACCCACCAACATGGATCTCTGTGTAATTAAGGGCAATTTTATTTAGTATATATTATGTCTTTCATTTAATTTAAATGATATATTTTAAAGCGACCATCTAATTCCTTCTATCTTAAATCTTTCTTTTTGTGCAGCCAGTTGTACGTGTCAGAAATATGTATCTGTTTAGAAGTTATATCTTTCATAACTATACAGGAAGAAACATCATCAAGATTAAAAGTGGAACTCAAACCGAATGTGAAGAATAAATTACAAAAGCAAAGCCAAGAAGAATGTTTACAGAAAATCTCAAACTAAGAAAACATGCAGACTGCTTCGTTTATTGTATAGTAGTAAGAAAAATTTCAGGTAAACAAGTAAATGTGGTACCATTTAATGCAGAGCATCGGGAGGGGACCTTGTGAATACAGCTTCCCATTAGACCTCCTTTGCATTTCTCATCATACTGTCGACTTTGCTTGGGGCTCACATTTCACAGCATTTTCTAAGTGGTGTTTCATGTATCCTTAAATTTCTAGAGTATAACAGAAAGTCTGGTTTGTATCCATCATATGAGTTGAAGGGAATGTGAAAGCAAAATGGCAAGATTGAAATGAGTAGAAAAGCATTTGCTTCGATGTGGGACTTCTGTTATTATAAAGTAAGAAAGAACACATTACTTTAGTAAGAAAAGAAGAAAAGTGATATTTTTTCTTGAGAGGGCTATTAATGTTCCCTAACCAAGTCTCTAACCTGACTTCAGTATTTTGGTTGATTTCCCAAAAGATTGAATTTTCAAAATTATGTAATTTTGGTGCAAATTCTCCTCTGAGCATTTACTGCTACAGAGAGAGAGAGTTCATGATCATTTTAATACTTTAAGTCATTTTAAACCCTGCTAGATTAAAATTCTTTATAAAATATGATGTGAAAACATATAGATGGTTTTCTTATTTAACAACTAAAAATGTCAAGTATCTTTTTGATATAAAAAGGTATTTATAAAATAGTGTGTTATTATTTTGATTTATTATAATATACTCAGTTATTATCTCTTCCTTTGGATCCTTCCATCAAAATTGTCCGAATGGACAGTGTTATACTGATTGTTACTGTCTCATCTAATCAGTCAAGAAGTTTGGAAACTTTATTATTTCATGATACATTCAATTGACCAAGCAGGTTTGTGCATCTTCCTTACTAAATATATTTTCATTTTTCCCATGCTCTTCTATCTGCACAGTCATTGTCTACCATTACGAATGTCATATTTTACGTGGATTACTGAAAGGAATTTCCACAGACTATTTTATTTGTCCATATTGGATCCTAATCTATTCACCTCCCTTCCTTTTGATAGAGTGCTCTTTCTAGAAAAGAAATTATTGTGCTAACTCTCCGATTTAACCACCAGTGAGTGGATCTCCTTTTCTAGTGACATCATGTTACACTCAGTAGCATGACATAAAAGACCCTCCAGAATTTGATGTTTGCTTGAAGTTCCAGTTCTATCCACAATTTCTCTTTCCCTCAGAACCTGCATTTCAGATACGGAAAATCCTTGTTAGTTCACTGAAAACACTCTTAAGACTTTGTACACACCACTTTCCACTGGACTTCTTTCCCTCCTTTGATTGTCTTCACATATCTTATGCAAGTGTCTTCACATTCACTTCTTAATGTTTTTATCAAACATTTTCTCTTCTTTGAAGACCTGCCCCATCTTCCTAGCCCAATGTGAGGCAGTTCATAGTGTTTGTCCCTTTCTTTTGGTTTGATTTTTTTATTCCATTTCTCCCAAAAACTACCATCTGGGGAGAAAAATCATGAAATTTATTTAGTTCTGTCATCTTGCCACATCTTTGTTGACTTCTTATATCTTTACTTTGTTTTATAATTGTAATTTCTGTATAATGTTGTATATGCATGACCCTGTGTATAGGCATGGTTTTTATTTACCATTAAACAAATACCATTTATGCATTTTATTTACCATATCCAAAGTTTTCTTTGGCTAATGTTTGTTTTTTTTTTTTTTTTTTGCTTGCCATCACCCTTTCCTGTTTCCTTTCTCTTTTCATTATGGAACATCTTATATTTTCCTTGGTGTCTTTGTGATTATTGCTTTCCTTTCTCTAGGTTTTTCTAGGACTAAGAAAATAGAGCCAAGTTTCTGGCTTATGAGAACTTCTTGTGAAACAGGTGTGTATTTTTTTTTGTGTGTGTGTGTGTGGCAATAGAGAGAAAGAGAGGATATTTTTCACATCACTCTTCACCACCCACAGAACTTGAAAGTCATAGGTATGCTCACAGGATGGTTTTCTTCACCGATCTTCAGCTACTTGCCTCTTTCTACAAATGTGACTTGTCTGTTGGTTTGGGGGAGATTCCTATTGTCATCATTTGCAATGATTTTATTTGTTCTAAACAAAGAATCGTTAGCCTGCAAGTGTGCCAATTTCCTAGAGAAGGGTTCTCTACTAGAATTATCTGATATCAGCAGCAATGAGTATCTTCTCAATGTCTTGTAACACTGCTTTTCTTTTTTTTTTTCATTTCAAATATATAATTTATAAATTCTGAAAAGTTTATGCAGTTGTATAACTACCATTGAAAATTTCATTGTGCTCTTTTACAGTCAGTTTCCTCTAACCACTTGCATTTTGCAGCCATTTCTATGACTTTTGCTGCCAGAGTTGATCATATTCTGGAATATCAAATATGTGCAATGTATAGTCTATTTTATCAGGTGTCTTTCACTTAGCATTCCACGTTTTACATATATTTATGCTGTTTCATATATCAATAATTCATTATTGTTTTTATTGCTAACTAGTTTTCCATTGGATGATTTTATTATAGTTTGGTTATTCATGTAGAAGTTGAATGACATTTGGATTATTTCCAAGTGTAGGTAATTATGAGTAGAGCTAGTATAAACTTTCACATATAGGTCTTTTTTTAAATTTTTTTTATTGGTTGTTCAAAACATTATAAAGCTCTTGACATATCATATTTCATACATTAGATGCAAGTTGGTTATGAACTCCCAATTTTACCCCAAATACAGATTGCAGAATCACATCGGTTACACATCCACATTTTTACATAATGCCCTATTAGTAACTGTTGTATTCTGCTACCTTTCCTATCCTCTACCATCCCCCCTCCCTCCCCTCCCATCTTCTCTCTCTACCCCATCCACTGTAATTCATATCTCTCCTTGTAACACTGCTTTTCAACCCTGATTGTTCCTGTGGCTCAAAAAATATCAATTTCATAGAAGGTGGTATCTGGAGTTTTCATGCTTACTCTTCTAATCATTTTAATCGATTTCTGAGATGGTAAATTAGGCCTGCCATCTTCCTTCTGTTATATTAAAATAAGAATTATTAAACTGTGTTAGAATTGTGTTAATTATCAGATTTGATTTTATAGTTTGAGAGTATCTGGAAGATTGAAAACTTTCTATTTTTGCATTTTATAGTCCAGACCCTGCTACATTGCATTCTTTAGTACCTTCTCACTGATGAACCACCATGGATGAGAAGAGAGTACAAAAAAGGGAGGAGAGTATAGTGGCAGCACCTCAAGTAGAAACTGTCATGGCCTGAGGGAAAGCACTGCAGCACAGATAAAAATTAAAATGTGTCTGGCACATGGAATCAGCTCATTTACTCAAATGAATTTTTGTATTTTTTTTCAATTCATCAACTTTCAAAATAAAGTTGAAATTTTCTGTTTTCTTTTTGCCTATAGATCACTGAGCTCTAACACTGGGGTTCCCTATTCCAGGACAACTCCTTTGAGTATTGTCCTTCAAAAGCAGTTGTGGAATGTTGTTGATGTCCCTTTCCAAAGAATTCTTTAAAAAGCATATTTTTTTCCTACTGTATTAAGATATGCAAAATTCCTCTATTGGGTTGTTTTAGCAACTGTTTTAATTAACTGATCAGAAATGCCATTTTGGGACTCCAAAGTGTCTGTAACACATTTGCCTTTTTTGTGGGGCATTTTTATTTTATTGCAGGCAGTACAGCATGATGCCTAACAGCACGGACTCGGAAACCAGACATTATTTTGTGTTCAAATTCCTTCACACTCTAGCCACCTTTTACATGACATTTAACCATTACTTGTCTTAATGTCCTTACTAACAAATGGGAATAATAAACCTATTTTATAGGGCTATTTATATTATTCTTACATGCAAATATTAAACAAGGGTAAAAATACATTTTCTCAGTCCAATTACCTTGAAATTTATTTTATTGTTAGTGCTGTGATTTTCACTTAGAGGTTAGTTTTAAATTCAAGTTTTAGTTAACTATAGAAAAGGCAATCAAGGCCATAGAGATTTGCTGTTAGCAATAATGCTTTAATTTTTTGTCCTCAAATTCTTTGAGGGCTCTATTCATCCCACACATTCTGTTTCAGCTGTGTAGCTGCAAAGATTCTGGGGAATGCCAGCCATACAAGGAGACATTTCTCCACAGAACAAAGCACTTGTACAGAATAATGTAGATGGGAAGGATGGAATAGGTGAACCCTTAATTAAAAATGTATTTCTGGGCTGGGGCTACACCTCAGCAGTAGAGCGCTTCTCTAGCACATGTGGGGCACTGGGTTCAATCCTTAGCACCACACAAAAATAAATAAATAAAATAAAGGTATGGGGTCTACTACAACTAAAAATACTTTTTAAATGTATTTCTGTTTTCATGATCAAACATTATTTAAAACTTTAAAGTATTAATCATGAATCCTATTTAAATAATAGGTGAACCAAGCTCAGTATTATAGTATTCTAAGAAATTTACTCACAGAAAAATTATTTGCATTACTAGCTAATGAAAAATGAGGAATTAGTACCTGTGTTCTGAAGACAAATATAGATGTTTACTTCACAAAATTTCATAAATATATATTTAACATATATAATATACATAGACACATATGATTTATGTGAACATATATTAAGGCAATCTGCCACTTATGCTCTTCAAATTGTATCATTTCTACCAAATTTAGATCTTAAAAATGTGTAGAAAACTGGCATAACACATTTGACAGACTTTAATAAGGTCAAAAGATGTACTGTAAATTTTTTATTGAAATATAACACATATACAGAAAAGTATAGATGTAAATATATAGTTTAATGAATTTTTACAAATTGTACATTTCCATGTAACCTGTACCAACAAATGGAACATCAGAAATCCCTACTGTGTCACTTATGAGTCATTAACCCTAAGTAAGGGTTACTATATACTGATTTGTAAAAATATAATTATAATTCTTTTTGAAATTTAAATACAAAGACACATTACAGTATGTACCTTTTCTTGTTTAATATCTATCCCCTAATATTATTTATTTTGTGAGGTTCAACTATATCTTGAAAACAATTGACTTTCTCACTGCTATAAACACATTTTTAAAAGTCATTTGGGTAGTTTCTACAAGAGAAATTATGAATTGCATTGATATGAATATTTTAGCATGAAAATGTTGGTTGACACAGAACTAATACCTTCTTGAATATAAACAAGAAATAGAATTGATAAATTACAAGGTAAGTACATATTTAGATTTGGAAGATACTACTAAACAGTTTTTCCAACTTGTATGTATGATGATAAAGAGTTTTCCAAAGTACTTTCGTTCTCTTGATTGAAAGCTGTTAGGATTATTTCATAGAGATTCCAATATCATTGAATTCTAAAGGGAAAAAGTGGATTTCTTATCCCTTTTCAAGAGTCTGTGCAAAATTTTCTGCTTCATTTCCAAGACCAAAAACATGTCACAAGGGATTATTGGAAGAGGAAGACTACAAAAACAACCAGACTTTTCATTTTTCTCAGGTCAAGAGCTGCATCCTTGCCTTGTGTTATCATAGTTAAGATGCTCTCTCACTTGACTCTGCAAATACATGGAATATGTACTCAAAAGGTGATGAAACATCTGAGTATCTTAAACTGGCACCATTACAAAAGTTCTACCACAGCAGGTACCCAGATGTAGATGGAATCATCTGATATGTTAGAATCTTTCCAGCCTATATTTATTCTTGCCTTATTCAGCAAATATCCAAGAATAGTGTTCAGTGTGTGTCACAGAATGTGCCAGCATGATTAAATTATTAATATCAAAAATTGAAAACAATAATATGGCTTAAACTAAAAACAATTTACTTAAAATTTTAGATATACAAATTCTGTTCCAAGTTTTTCCAGGAAAAAATATAATTTATAGTCTTTCCTATAATGCCTGCTCTCAATAGAAGGGAGTTCAGCAGTGTAGGGCAAGTGGATTAGAGGAATCAAAGAGGGGAGAGAAAGAGAAGGTACCAGGAAAGAAGACTGAGTAAATTCTGTCATGTGCATATATGCAAATGGCTCAAATTGCAAATTCCCAATATTATGTAAAATTACAATGCACAAATAAAAACTTTAAAAAAGCATACTTACTTTTAAATAAAGTTTCCTGAGAGTTATTTTCATTGTCTTATTTAAAATACTAGCAAAGGAGAAGTAACTGTAAATAATACAAAATGCTAATACCTTTATAAGGATTATTTATATTCTAGTTTAGAATATTGTTTGTTCCTTTACTGGTAAATAGGTACATCTTTGGTTTGGCACTTCACCTCATGCCAGCCAGTAAAGCCATGCTCTTAATATTCAGTAGTAATCAATATTTCCATTTCTTTTGTTTATATCAATCTGAAATTCATTCTTCAGTAAAAGATATAATTTGTTCTTTCCTTTTTTTTTTAACCCTTACCCTCTTGTCTAAGCACTGAGTAGTTGGGTTTGAAAGAACATTCTTGCTGCATCCAAGTAGGGATTGTGTTGTTATAAAAATGGTGAATATTCCTTTGGTTGTGCTTTTGGCAGCATAAAACTTCCTGTCTGGTATAAATTTTGTGTACATTCTCTATTCTACACAGTAATAGAGGGTTAGTCATTTTATCAGAAAAAATGGTATACATTTTATTCCCTTAACTAAAGGAAAGTCACAGTTTTAAATGGTGTGAGATATGATGTTCACAAAACAGAGGGGGGACCTGTGGGAACAAGTAATAAGAGAGGGTTGGCCTGGAAGATGTGGGCAAATCAAGTAATGGAGGGCAGATTGTAAGGAGGCATGGATGCTAGGGACTAAGTCAATCTTTACAAAGTTTTGGCATATATGTATAAATTATCATGAATGTTCACTTATTTTATAGTAAAATTTTTATTTAAGTAACCATATACACAGCTACAGATAAAAATGATGAAATTTCACAAAATGAAGACACACATATAGAAAATATCTATATCAAGTTTCAGAACATTACCAATATCCCTATCACCCCTCTCTTCCCTTCAAGTCACTGCTAGCACAGTATCAACCCACTACCCACATGTATTTCAGCACAATAGATTAATTTTGCCCATTTTTAACATATAACTGAATCATATGATATGTGAATACATTTTAATGACAATTAAATGCTTAACAACATATTTGTTAAATTAATTTGCCTACACTGCATTTGTGATTAATTTACATTGTAATGTCATAGTCATTATATGAATGTATTAAATTTATTTGTCTTTTTTGCTGTTTATAAACTTTGGGTTGTTTACAATTTGAAGTATTTACAAAGAATGCCTATAGGAAAATTCTTTTTCTTATTTTTTGTAAATACATTACTACACTAATATTGATTGCCTGTGTTGGTGTGGTTCAGTCATATAGAATTGATTTTTTTGGTTACTTTAAAAAAATTATTCTAATTTGTTATACATGATAGCTGAATGCATAACAATTCATAGTACACATATAGAACACAATTTTTCATTTCTCTGGTTATACACAAAGTAGAGTCACACCATTCCTGTCTTCATACACGTACTTAGAGTAATGATGTCGTCCATCTCCTTCCAGCATCTTTCCTCCCCCAATACCCCCTCCCTTCCCCATCCTCCCCTTTGCCCTATCCAAAGTTCCTCCATTCCTCCCATGCTCCACCCACCACCCCCATTATGGATCAGCACCTTTATATCAAGAGAAAATATTCAGCCTTGGGTTTTTTGGGAGTGGCTTACTTCATTTGGCATGATTTTCTCCAACTACGTCCATTTACCTGCAAATGCCATGACTTATTCTCTTTTAATGCTGAGTAATATTCCATTGTGTATATATACCACATTTTCTTTATCCATTCATCTACTGAAGGGCATCTATGTTGGTTTCACAATTTAGTTATTGTGAATTGTGTTGCTATAAACATTGATGTGGCTGTGTCACTGTAGTAGGCTGTTTCTAAGTCCTTTGGATATAAACCAAGGAGTGGGATAGCAGGGTCAAATGGTAATTCCCTTCCAAGTTTTCCAAGGAATCTCCATACTTCTTTCCATATTGGTTGTACCAATTTGCAATCCCACCTGGAGTAGAAACATATCTCAACATCATAAAAGCTATCTATGCAAAGCCCCAGGCCAACATCATTCTAAATGGAGAAAAATTGAAGGCATTTCCTCTAAAAACTGGAACAAGACAGGGATGCTCTTTTTCACTACTTCTATTTAAGATAGTTCTTGAAACTCTATCCAGAGCAATTAGACAGACAAAAGAAATGAATATGAAAAGAAGAACTCAAACTAGCACTATTTGCCAATGACATGATTCTATACCAGAGGATCCAAAACTTCCACCAGAAAACTTCTAGAACTAATAAATGAATTCAGCAAAGTAGCAGGATATAAAATCAACACCCATAAATCAAAGGAATTTATGTACATTAGTGACAAATCCTCTGAAAGAGAAACTAGGAAAACTACCCCATTTACAATTGCCTCAAAAATAAAATACTTGGGAATCAACTTAACAAAAGAGGTGAAAGACTTTTACAATGAAAATTTCAGAATGTTAAAGAAAGAAATTAAAGAAGACCTTAGAAAATGGAAAGGTATCCCTTGTTCTTGGATAGGCAGAATTAATATTGTCAAAATGACCATACTACCAAAAGCACTATACAGATTTGATGCAATTCCAATCAAAATCCAAATGACATTCCTCATAGAAATAGAAAAGGCAATAATGAAATTCTTCTGGATAAATAAGGGACCCAAAATAGCCAAAGCAATCCTTAGAATTGGTGTGTGTGTGTGTGTCTGTGTGTGTGTGTGTGTGTGTGGTGTGGGGTCAGAATCAAGATTCTCTAGTTTTCATATGCATATGCATTGACTTGTTATTATTAATGATAATGCTTTACCCAATATGTTATAGGGTTACTTTTGTTATAAAATAAATGACCATATTTATGTAAATCTGTTTCACTGTTTCATTTTTTTTTCATTCAAATGTGTGACTTCTCAGTTAATCCATGGTTTTCATTGGTCTTTATGTAAGAATAACTGGTAGGTGTTAATGCAATTTATCAGATGAACAGTTAGCAGCACTTTTAAAGTTATATTTCAAATCTGCTGAATCATAAAGTTATTCCTTGCTAGAGACATTTTATAGGTAAAAAAGAGTAGCTGGATAATAATGATTGAATTGCATTCTTCTTTGTCCAAAAAAGCACATTGGTTAGAGATCACAATATCTTTGTAAAACTGGTTAGGCTCCTCCCAAGAGCAAGATTCAAGTGGGTGGTTTTCCAGATTGACTCTTAAATCATTGATATCAGTCTTAAAAGTTTATCATTTTATCAGGAATGTTAATTTCTGCCTGGAAGGGTGACAGATTACATCAGCTCAAAATTTCTGTCAAAGGTCAGCTTTATAACAATTTTCTTTCTTATAGATGTTTTTCAGCAAATGTTTGTAAAGGATTGATTCTAAACTCCTGGAAAGAAATGTTTCCCTAGATGTTGAAGTCAAAGACCAGCTATCTTCTTTATTCAGTTTATTCTAACTTAATCCTTCAACCTGGACATATAAAATAGAATTTAAAATTTTTATGAATTGCTTTTCCTTCCACACTTGGTAAGAGTGGCTGCAAAACTGACAATTCAAGCCAGTTAGAATAATACTGAAAAATTTTACCTTGTTCATATGTTGAAAAGCTCTTCTACTTTCAGCAAGATTAGAATTTTTTTTTCACTTTCAAAATGTTTATTTAAATCTTAATTTTGAAATACATATTTTTTTTTACGTTTGAATCAAATGGGGTATAATTTCTCCTTTTTCCAAGTGTACAGTTTGCAGAATCACATTGGTTATACAGCCACATTTATACATACAGCAATACTAGTGTCTATTTTATTCTGCTGCCCTTCCTATCTCCCCTTCCCCTCCCCTCTCCTCCCATCACCTCTCTCTACCCAATCTAATGTGACACATTTCTTTTTTTTTCCCTCACAATCTGAATTCTCCAAAAACAAAATAAATAAATAAATAAAATAAACCAAAATTCATATGAGAAAAATGTATATTTATCAATATGTAATATGTAAATACTTTATTTAAATATGTGTCTTTTTATTTTGTAGTTCTGTCAGTAAAAAAAAAAAAAAGGTATAATGTGAAGTTACAATAAGCCAAAGGATGGGAGCAATTGTGATTGAGTGATTATACTTTCCTACTCCTACAACATGCTAGTAAGACGACCACTGTTGGACTAATGAGAATTTCTGTTCTTTGCAAAAGGATTGTTTTAAGTTATTATTAGAAAACCACTGTTTTTCATTCTAATTAAATTAATTAATTTATTTTATGTACTTTTTATGGTGCTGGGGATCAAACCTAGAGCCTCCTGCTGCTAGGCAAGCATACTACCACTGAGCTACAACTCCAGCCCCCTATTTTAAAAGATGCATTTTATGGAGTAGTATTTGGACCTTTGACAAGTATTCTTTCTCTTTCAAACATAAAGGAATATTATGTAAAACAAAGGCATGAATTTAACACCAGTGTAGAGTTTCTGATAAAGTGAAATATAAATGTCTTTCAAAATAATCAACATAGCAATACAATTATTTCCATCATTCAGATTCTTGATAAGCATGCTATTAGCATGATTTTTACAATTGAACTGATGCAAGCAGAGGGTAGTAAATCAGTTCTACATGCTCCCTGGGCCTTGCATCTAAAGCCATCTGGACACTATGACAACATTCTATTTATTACATACAAAAGCCTGGATCCTGCCGATGCATAAACAGTAATTAAACACACAAGCCAACCATGCATGCCAGATCTGCGAGAACTATCCTTTGAGTATCTTAGAGTTTCCATGCCAATGAGCTTATTGAGAAATTGGCTGGTGATTAAAGATTAATGATTTATGGTTGCAAGTGAGGTTCATTTGCTGCTTACTGAAATATGTTTGACAGCCTCTTTTTTGGTTTTCCTAGAATCCATACGCATAGAGCTAATTATTCTTAAGACAATATCTCAGTTAAATTCAAACATGAGCTGAAGGTAAGAACATAAAATCACAAGTCTTTTAATATCCAGGTATCAGAGAGCATACCTCTTTTCCTATACTCTCCTGAATATCGAAGTTTGCTTTCCATGCTTTTAAGTATAACACTTACCCATTACATATTGGAAAGAACAGCCATTTGGGACTTGTTTTTCCTAACTCTACTTCTGTAATTCCCATCTTCTCTGGCTGGTCACAACCTGTGCTTAAATTAAGAAGACATGATGGATGAAAAAGAAAAATAATGGAGGCATTTACAAAGAAGCTTGGTTATACTTTTGGCTAATCAGCATTTTGCTTTTTAAGGTGTTTAGATTTTTCACAATTTGTTGATTCCCAGGAAAAAATAG